ACAATGTAAATAAAAATTAATTTGGAGCAATCTTTATCAGTATAATGCAATTAGCTGAAACTTTGAGCAATTACTATAAACATGCAATGGATGAGGTGGGAGGGACCTGGAAGAAATCATAGAGCGGCCAGAAAGAGTGTACGCCCAGAGTACCTTAGCCAATGGGGAAAAGGGGAAGGACTTGCAATCGGGAATGTATATAATTATGCCGGAGTTTGTATGTGGGTGTGGCTTCCCGCTTGCACACTGTGAAGCCCACCAGCAAATGCTTTTTAATAAACTTTTTACTTTTGGTTAATCCAGAGAGATTTGTGTCGCTTGTTTCGCACACAGATCAAAGAAATTTAGAAGTTCAGCTTTAGAAGAACTTTAATGCATTTTGTTTAATTTTATGGTTGGTTGCCTCATTAAATGTTTCCATGTGGAATGATGACTAATGTATACTTACTAGAGTGAATCACAAAAATTGAGAAGCAAGATTACCTGCATGCTTTCTAATTTAGAGATAGGCCTGTCTGGAGGACAATGAAAACTGAGGTCAACAAAGTTTTTTTTTCTTCATTATATTTCCCTGAGTCAGTTTGTGATTGTGTTTTCTTTTGTCTTTTTTTTTTTGAAGAATTAGAATTTTTAAAAAAACAAATGGATTATAAAAACATTTTTGAAACACTGAATAAAATGTTTTAGGATTTTTTTTTTCTTTACTCCAACTTTTATTCTCTCAGAATTGTCTCTAAAAGTTATATAGAAACACTTTTCTACACAGGATCATTAGAATGGTGCCCAGTGCTGAGGACAATCACTGCATTCCAGAACAATTTATGTTTTTGCTTCCCAAAGAAACAGTGAGAACTGCCCTTGCAGTTTGCACAGGAAGGTAAGCCGTCAAGACATGGTGATGCAATGAGTAGCTTGTTCTTCAGCCAGCTTGTTGCAGAACCTGATGCTGCTTCCCAGTTGTCTACAGCTTCTAATTTGGCATACTAAACCTGGACCTTATTTGGAGGTACCTGAATGCCCATAATAGCAGCGACCTGCTTTCTAGTATGTACCAATAGAGGCGAATATGTGTAGCTCAGGGTTGAACTGTGGAGTTCTTGGGGTTCTCTGAGCTTGGTTCTTTTCTTGGAAATGTTTCATTACCCAGCTAGGTAACATCTTCAATGCTAAAATGGGATGGAGTTTCTAATATGTCCCCCACCCCATGTGTCACCTGGGGACACACTGCTCAGCTCTCACAAGCCATCTGGCAGCTGGTTGAAGAAGTCTCACTTGCCATCTGCAAGAGGAAAAACAACCAAGGAATTGGCCTGAATGACATCCTAGCTGAAATATGGAAACTACCTGAATCACAGGGAGGAGAATGGCTTACAGAAATGTTCAACAAAAGTGTAGAAGAAAATGAACTTGCTACAACTGTACAACACTCCCGATTTAGAAAGGCAAAAGCGATGTACGTGACTGTTTAAACTACAAGCTGATCTGGCTACTATGCCAGACAATTTCTGAATGCATACGAGATTCCTCTGAGACCGAATGAAGTCTTTGAGAGCTCCTGGAGCATGGGCTAACTACCAGAGGACTGGAAAAGAGCTGATGTGGTTCCAATTTAAAAATTGGAAAAAAGTGGATCCAGGAAACTATACACCAGTCAACTTGACATCAATACCTGGGAAAATCCTGGAAAAGGTAATCAAGCAGCAGGTTTGTGGGCACCTAAAAATGAAAAGGTGATAACTAGAAGCCAGGATGGCTTTGTTAAGAACAGGTCATGCCAAACTAATCTTATTGCCCTCTTTGATAAAGTGATTAAATTAGTGGACTAAGGAAATGCTGTGGATATTTCCCTTCCATAACAGCTGTGGGGAGGACATTATCAGGCTAGAGACAAGGCTCTCCTGAATTTGGGGGCTGTAATATGATATAAATATGAAGCTGACTTAGGGGCTAAGATTTGGTTATTAGCAAATATATTATGAGAAAATGCAGCAGTTTGTGTTTGGCCTTCTATGTCTAAGATCCTTTGACTTAACATTGATCTAGCTTGATTTAACTCTAAGATTAAAATGGCATCACTGGAGAAACCATAGAGACTCAGTTTCTTTTGAATAGCTATTTCCCAAGAGGATTTGAAGTTATCTGCCAATATTAGATGGGTCAGTCTACTGGGGCTGTGATGTAATTTTAACCAGTAGGTAAAAATATTTATTTATCCAGAGATTAGATTCAAGTTTACTGACTCCTGCTTCCCGTCAAAGTACAGCATTTGGAACACAGAGGATAACCTGGAAGATGTTGCTGATGCAGATCTCTGTGCATTACGAGAAACATAGTCCAGGTAGGCATTTCTGCTTCCTGAAGCTTGAAAAACTATCCCTAGATATCTAAATATCTTAGCTTGCTCAATGGGCTGCCAACCTAAGTTCCAACTTCTCTGCTTTGGGCGTTTGGAAAAAATAAGTATCTTAGCCTTGGTGTAATTTATTATTAGTTCCTCCTCAGCATAGTAATGTATAAGGGATCTCAGAGCTCTTTTGAGGCCAATAGTAGTTAGTGACAGAATTACTGCATCATCTGCATACAGTAATAAATTAACATTTCTTTGGGCTAATTTAGGAGGATGAAAAGTAGAGCTACTTAGATGAGGGACCAATGAGTTTATATAGTAGTTGAATAAAACTGGGGCCAATACACATCCCTGACTGACTCCCCCCCCCTCTTATGGGTATTTCTGTCAGGCCCAGCCCAGGGACAATGATGAAACAGTCCAGTCAAGTACAGTTCCTTTATTGGCTTACACCTTATAGACAGAATCTTGCCAAACTAAATCTATACTACAGCAACTAGTGGACATACCCTGTGAGATTCTAGGGAGTGGCTATCCTGGATCTCTTACTCTTCTCATGCTCCCCCTGTGGACTGTGTTGTCTTTTGCCTCCTCCCCACTCCTGGAATGCACCCCCTCCTTCCTGATAGCCTTGATCTCCCACATCACCCTCCTCTTCGTAGATACATTCGATCACAATTTCCTTTTGACACGTCCTTGGTTACTGCACCTGACCTTCAATCTTGTATTCTCTTGAATGTTACTGAACAGCAGGAGTAGATGTTTGTCAGTTGTGGTATTTTTAAATTTATGCCACAGTTTAGTTCCAGATACTGTGTTGAAAACTGACCTAAAGTCAGTAAGTGCTGCGTAAAGGGATTGTCCTGATTTGTGGGTATACTTTTCTACTAGATGTTGCAGCACCAAAGCAGGTGCCTAACATTGATTGACCTGCTCTAAATCCAGCCTGTTCATCCATCGGAATGTCTTCAAATTCAAGCCAATCAGTTAGTTTTTCCTGTAGTTGTTTAGCATATATTTTGCTGGTCTGCTGATCTGACTTAACAAACTGACTGGGCAGTAGTTAATTGGATCATCTCTCTTGCCCTTCTTATATATTGGTGTTATAATAGCCAAGGCCCAGTCCTCTGGTATCATGGCCGAATGATCTACTACTGTGAAAAGTGAAGCTAGCACTGAGATCCACCATTCCAAATTATTTTTTATTACTTCATATGTAAGAAAATCTGAACCAGGGGCTTTCCCTGGTTTGGACAGTTTAATTATAGTTCTGATCTCTGAGCATGAGACTGGGGGCCAATGGGGAAGAGAGGCCACCTCCAACTCCAAGTCTGCTAGGAAATTCTTCACTTGACCATGTAGGGTGACAAAATGGTGTTCCCATATACTGGCTGGTATATGCGGTGAAGAGCTATAAATACTGTTAGAAAAATATGGGGCTACCAACTTCTAGAAGTTGGCAGGGTTTTTTGCAAAGGCAGCTACTATCATACCCTCATAGCTTCCCCCCCCCTTTTTTTTTTACAAATTGACTATTTATACTGTTTTTTGAATGTCACTCCAAAGTTGAACAAGAGCCAGGAGTCTCCTTATATAATTTAAAAAGGCAATTTAGAGAATTCCAAGCTTCACGGCATTCGTCATACCAAGTATGATGTGTTCTTGGATCACGCCTAACTGTAACAGATTGGGTGGCTGTTAACAGTGATTGAAATAGTTTGGTTAAGTTATTGAAATTAGCCAATATGTCATCTAACTTACCCTCCACTATTGCTGAGTAAAGAGACTTGGCTGGTTTGCTTCTAACGAAGTTAGTGATTATTGCTGCTTGCTGAGATGACCATTCAGCATGAGTGTGACAAAGATCATCAGCCACTGTTGCAACATGGCAAGAAGGTAAAAACAACCTATCAAAGATTTTCAGGCACAGAGTAACAGGAAAGTGGTCACTTTCAGATCAACTGACAATTACAAACTTAGATAGAGAGGGAATTAAACTCTGAGAGATCTAATAGAGAAGGTTTGGTACCAGCCCAGTGGGTATACTCAGCTGGGTAATCATCACTAATAGATCCATTTAAAATTACCAAATTCAGTTTTGTAAAAGTTTGAACAAGACAAAACCCTTTATTATCACCAAATACATCCTTAGCTTGGTGGCATAGAATAGAGGATGTTATTACAGAA